GAACAGGCTCAGGTCGATGGTCCCGACCCGCCGCGCCTCTGCGAGCCCGGCCCCGCCGCGCCGCCCGGCAGGTAACGGGGGGGGGGACCGGCCCGGGATGGAGCGGGGATGCGGCGGGGATGGAGCGGGGATGGAGCGGGGATGGAGCGGGGATGGAGCGGGGATGGAGCGGGGATGCGGCGGGGATGCACCGCTGACCGATGCCCCCGTTCCGTGCAGCGGGAGCCCTCTCTCCGGCCCGGAGAGCCCCAGCGAGCCCGGTCCCGGCGGTGAGGCGGACCCCGAGGCCGCCCCCGGCCCCGGCGGCGATGCGGAGCCCGGGAGCGGCGGCGCGGAGGCCGCGGGGCAGAGCGGAGCGGCGGCCGAGGAGCCCGACGAGGAGGCGGCCCCGGCCCGGCCGTCGCAGAACATCGCGGTGCAGGTGGGTGCAGCTCCCCGGGGCCCGTGGGGTTTGTGCTGTGCGGGGCGAGGGCCGTGAAAGGCTCTGGTAGGACCTGGAGGACAAAGAAGTGAATAAGTTGAGGTTGGGGGATAAAACATCCATTCTTGCAGCTTTACAGCCGCTGCTGTAAAGGTGATGAGGGGTCTGGAGCATCTCTCKGATRARGAGAGRSTACAGGAGCTGGRCCTGGTTAGKCCAGAGAAGACWGAAAGGGGATCTCATTAATGTGYATAAATATTTCYAAGGGGTGTCAGAGTGTGGTGCCAGGTTCTTTGTGTTGGTGCCCAGCTATAGGATGAGGAACAATGGCCATAAATTAAAATGATAAGTTTTATTYCAGAGAGCTCCTTTTCATGGAGGGTGGCAGAGYRCTGGAAGAGRTGCCCAGGGAGGGCCAGGTGATCCCTGTAGGGGTGAGGGTGTGATCTCAATCATCTCCTTCACAGACTGACTTCAAGGCGGCCGATGCAGATGTGAACACRGACCAGGACATCGAGAAGAGCTTGGTGGGTATCAACACACTGTGCTGCAACTGCTGTTCCCACTTCTTCCCTGTCAAAATAGAATCATAGAATCATTATGGTAGGAAGAGATCTCTGAGATCATCAGATAGCAGCCTTGAAGTCCTTAAGCTGTTCTTTTTACAGGAGGAATTTTGCTCTCCACTGCAGGACAAGATGATGTCTGAGCGGGCCTTGCTGAAGGAGCGCTACCAGGAGGTGTTGGACAAACAGAGGCAGGTGGAGAACCAGCTGCAGGTCCAGCTCAAACAGCTCCAGCAGCGGAGGGAAGAGGAGATGAAAAACCACCAGGTATTTGGTGAAGAACTGTTTTTGTTTAACCTGCTGTGTAGTTAATTTTAAAATCTTTGTGAAGCCCAGGAGAACCTGCAGTCAGGTTCRTCTGTCTCCTGAGTTTCCTCATAATAACCAGTTTATGGTTGAATCTGCTAAAAAGAAAGAATTTGTTGTGTAATTTTATTAATCAATTAGTTTAAAATAAGAACAGGCTTTAGTTCRAAACCATTACTTGTGAATATTGTCCTGTTTCTATGTGATGCTTCTYTTACCCCAGGAGATTCTGAAAGCGATTCAGGATGTTACGATCAAGCGAGAAGAGACCAAGAAGAAGATGGAGAAAGAGAAGAAAGAATTCCTGCAGAAAGAGCAGGATCTCAAAGCTGAAATTGAGAAACTCTGTGAGAAAGGCAGAAGGTATTTATATAGAAAAGAAAATGTTTATTTTTTCGGGGGTAAGGTCTTGCTTAACCCTGATGTAAACCTGATGGAGCAAAGAGCTTTAAAGTCTTCGGAAGCAGCGAGTATTTAGGTCAGACCTGTAGGGATAAATWTAGGATAGGCCCTGTATATGAATTGGCACTTTTGTGGAGTGTTTTGTTGTGTCATAGAGGTCTGGTTTTTATTCTGAGTGTGATGTTTTTGGGTAAAACTCCTCCAGTGATGGCTCCAGCCCTTTTCCCCCAAGTGACTGTGGCAGAACACGTGCAGGGGGAGCAGCACAGCTCCCTGCAGCGAGCCTGGTTCTGTGCCACAGCCTTTGTGCAGTGTCATGAGCCAGCAGGATTTGTGCTCTGGAGGCTGTTTACCCACACAGGGAGCCATCCCCAGCCTGTGCTGTGTGATTGAACCTGGGGATGTGCCAGGGAGGGTTTCAGTGTGGCCTCTGCAGYGTTGGGATTCCAGCTGTGCTGTCCCATTTCTCCCGTGCAGGTTGCTGAAGGAACAGGAGGAGAAGGAGAACAAGATTGCATCCCTGATCGCAGAGCAGTCTGATGAGAAGTAAGGCTCTTATCCATTACCTGATTAATGCTGCCCACTGCACTTTTCCTTCCTGTCATTTTGCCTCAGAGGGAATCTGATGCTCCTGATGGGATAGAATATAGAAAATGATCCAGCAGTGCTGGCCAGTACGTGCTCTAGAGGTTTTATCTCCTGCAGCATCAGGTCTCTGGATTAAATCTTTGATCCCAGTCACAAGCAGGCTCCTGGATACTGGTGACATAAGATCCCATAAGATTAGAGTTTGTGCTTGGTGGATTGACTCAGCTTGTAACTGCTACCTCTGATTGAATTTTAACTTTCTAGAATTAGGGCAGTCTGATTTCCYTGGCTGTTCCCACAGCTGTCCAGCTACACTAAACTGTCACSCTCAGGTATTTAGAGCTGGGCAGGRSTGTGMCAGATCCASGTGTTCCCATAGCACAGGTGGAAATGTCCAGCTTTAAACTTGTCCAGGAACATAAGAGCATGGTTCTGCCTGCTGCTGAGATTGATTCCTGGTCCACATCTTCCCTGGGAYTGGACTGGACTTTGCTCAGGGGAATTCTCACTTTGTGTGGTGGAACAGCTCGCTCRTGGGACAATGACACACACACCCCAGGGAGCTGGGGCTGGTGTCAGGGTCTGGCACCTGCTGTGCTCCCACAGTTCCACCCCATCCAGAGCTTTTGGGATCCATCCCTTTGTGGCCATTCCTGTGCCTGAGCCTGAGGGGACTCGTTCTGTTCTGTGTGCAGGCAGCTGTGGGAGATGGAGCTGGACAAGCTGAAGAACCAGCACAACGAAATCAACAGGAACATTCTCGAGGAGACAGAACGGGCCTGGAAAGCAGAGGTGAGCAGGTGATTTCTCCTCTGGCAAGTGGCTGATTTGAGATTGCAGAGGGTTAATGGACAGTTCTGTGAAATTGGGAGCAGTTGAGGACAAGRGCAAGTCCCACTGTGTGGGGTAAGATGAACGATGAACAGGTACCAGTGCAATATTAGTGTGGAGCAGTGCCAGTGCCTGGTCTGGCATCAGGAAATGGGGCAGTACAAAAACAGAGCCTCTGTCCATAGATCCTGTCCCTGGAGAGCCGGAAGGAGCTGCTGGTGTTGAAACTAGAAGAAGCAGAAAAAGAAGCAGAGCTACACCTCACCTACCTCAAGTAAGTCTGTGTAGGGTCACAAGTGGCAGGGAGGGTCACTCACGTGTCCCTGTGTCCCATCTCCTCTTCCTCTACTTATGCTGGAGGTTGGGCTGGAATAGTTCAGGATTTCCTGCGATTCCTAAAAATCTCTGTGATTCAATAAAGTCACACAGCAAGGGTGTGTTGGGCTGTGCTTGTCCCCTGTCCCTGTTCACCTGCCCAGTTCAGTCAGTGCTGCTGACTCTGCTGTCCCTGTGTGTCCCACAGATCAGTCCCCTTCCCTTGTGGGTTCCTCAGCTGGGGGTGAGCCCTTCCCACCCCGCTGGAGGAGGGGAAGCCAGGAGGGTTTGGGGGGTTCCTTGCTCCCACTTTGCTGCCTGTGAGAGCACAGTTGCAAGTGGGAAAGTTCAGCTGTGCTTGCAGGTCTGCACCACCCACGCTGGAGACCATGAGGCCAAAGCAGGAGTGGGAGATGAGGCTCAACAGGATACGAATGACCAAGCAAAGTGTCAGAGTAAGTTCTGCTGGCCTGTCCCACATACTGCTTCTCTCTCCAGCTTCTCATCCATTCTGTGGAACCAAACAGTGCCACTCCAGAGCCTGCCACCCCAGGGCTTAGAATGCCCCAGACTTGCTCAGGTTTGATAAATGCAGCTGTTTTCTTCCCYCTGTGCTAGGATCAGTTCAACGACCACATCCAGATGGTGAGGAATGGCACAAAGCTGAGCAGCCTCCCCCAGATCCCGACGCCGACGCTGCCTCCTCCGCCTTCGGAAGTGAGTGCCTCTCCAGCCCCAGCTGGCCTGGCCCCAGCCCTGCCGGTGCTGTGCATGTGTGGGATGGCCCATCCCCTGTCYGGGCTTACCTGGAGAGCAGGGGAAGGGTTTCCTTCCCTTGCCAGCTGCTGGTGCCTGCAGTTCATCCCACCTTGGCTGGGGAAGAGGGCACCCAGGTGCTCTTGCTCTAACCAGCCTTTCCTTCTTGCCCTGCTTTTCTTCCTCAGACAGATTTCATGCTGACGGCATTCCAGCCCAGCCCATCCCTGACTCCACGGCTCCCCTTCCCCATCGGCCCYGTCCCCGTCCCCATGGTCATGCCCAGCGCCGACCCTCGGGCGCTCTCCTTCCCCCTGCTGAACCCCGCCATCTCCAGGCCCAACCAGCCSTCCCCGCCCCTGCCTGCTTCCCAAGGGAGGAACAGCCCGGTGGTGGCATCGCTGATGGGCACGCACAGCCCTCACATGGCTCCTGCTGCCTCCATCCCTCCTCCGCCCGGCCTCGGAGGGGTGAACGTGGCCCCAGAGTTCCACCGGCCCCAGCCGGCCGACAAGCTGGAGAAGCTGCTGGAGAAGCTGCTGACTCGATTTCCACAGTGCAACAAGTAAGGGTTCTTGCAGAGAATGGGGGCTCGTGCATGGCACAGGAGCTGGGATCAGGGAAAGGGGGATCCTGGGGACAGTGGGGTCTGTGGGAACTGAAGGAAGGCTGAAGGCTGGGAGCAAAGACAGCATGGTGTCTCTGTAGTGCTGGGAGTGGGAATGGCTGGGAGCTTTGAAGGACAGCAGGGATGTCTGGGTACAACCAGGAGCCCCTCAGCTGTCTGTGGGACTTTCCCCAGCATTTTGGGGTCAGTCTCCTCAGCACAGGACTCACCTCCCATGGATGGGGCAGGAGAGCACACGGCTTCCCCCAGGCAGCGGTGGCTGAGGGGTCCCAGTGTGAGGATTGGGAACTCTCAGCAGGCTGCTGTCCGTGCAGGGCCCAGCTGACCAACATCCTGCAGCAGATCAAGACTGCCCGGAGGACCATGGCCGGCCTGACCATGGACGAGCTGAACCAGCTGGTGGCGGCCAAGCTGGCGGAGCAGCAGGAGCGGGCAGCGGCCGGGGCCCAGGTGGGACAGGGGGGGTGGGGGCTGCTGGAATTGGGGCTTGGGGAACAGCCTGAGCTGTGCCTGCTCCCTGCTTCCCCACAGAGCTGGGGCTGTGTGTCAGGGCTGTCCCCAGAGCTGGGGCTGTGTGTCAGGGCTGTCCCCAGAGCTGGGGCTGTGTGTCAGGGCTGTCCCCAGAGCTGGGGCTGTGTGTCAGGGCTGTCCCTACTGAGCTGGGGCTGTGTGTCAGGGCTGTCCCCAGAGCTGGGGCTGTGTGTCAGGGCTGTCCCCAGAGCTGTGCCTGCTCCCTTCATCCCCACAGAGCTGGGGCTGTGTGTCAGGGCTCAGTCCCCAGGGTTCCCTTCCCTGCTGACTGCACCGTAACCAGGGAACATTTTCCTCGGGGTGGCTCCTGTGTCCTTTGCTGATGTGCCTCCCTCCTGTGCCTTGCAGCCTCTGGGCCGGATCAGGGCCCCCATGTTCTCTGCTCCTCTGCCTCAGATCAGCACGCCCATGTTCCTGCCCCCGGCACAGGTCGCTTACCCTGGAACAGCGTCACACGTAAGGCTCTTGGCTTCCCTGGGACAGGGGAGGGRSGGACAGAGGGACAGAGGGACAGAGGGACAGAGSCTGCCTGAAGGGATGAGCTCTCTCCTCACAGCTCCTTGGGCTGGTGACATGGAGGATTGGGGCACAGATCCTTTGTGTTTCACACGTTGTGACACAGGGACACGAGATATGTTGGTGGCTCTCAGGGAGAGAGGGGAGCAGCTGTCTCCATGATCTGTGTGTCTGACCTTCCCCCTGCTCCTCTTTCCCCCCATGGCTGTCCCAGACCCCAGCTGCCTGTAAGCTGTGTCTGATGTGCCAGAAGCTGGTGCAGCCCGGTGACCTTCACCCCATGGCCTGCTCACACGTGCTGCACAAGGAGGTGAGTGTCTTCTGCTGCTCGGGGCTTCCTCCTGCTCCTTCCAAGTGACCCTTGCCGAGTCCTTGTTGTGCTGACACCTTGCCAGGAGAAGGGTAYGATCAATAAACACTTCCTTGCATCCTGTCATCCCATCCTTTCYGTGCTCTTGGCTGGGCCACCCTGTGTGGCCAGTGTGTGGTGGCTTTAGGAACAGGCTGCCCTTCTGTCCCTGATCCTTGTGTCTGTGAGGACAGTCTGGAAGGATCTAGAACACAGGGTGAGAGAAGTAGCCACTGCTGCCCAGGTGTCTGGGCTAGGGATGCTTTTTGGAAACCCTTTATTCCCCATGGGGCTGGCTGTGGGTCACCTGTGTGGGCAAACCCCACACCCCAACAGCTCTGGGGCCTCCAGCAGCGGTCCCAAAGAAATGGAAACTCATGTTGAGGAGGGTCTGATGGTCCTGGGAGGGTGACAAGGGCTCTGCCCTCATTGTGACCTTGTAAGGAGCCAAGGAAAGCGTCCTGAAATGAGCGCTGTGAACAGTGAAGGCACCTTCGGGTTGTGCCAGTGGCTCTTGACTAATTCTCTCTCTTCCAGTGCATCAAATTCTGGGCACAAACCAACACGAATGACACTTGCCCCTTCTGCCCAAGCCTCAAATGACGGCTGCTGGGACAACGTGGGCCCCCRGGAGGAGTTGCTGTGAATAGCCAGGATCAGTTCTAAGATTTCTACAGTTCTATATTTATACGATCATGTATACACATGTACATTTTTATTATATAGGGTAATGTGTGTATAGAAAGTCTGTATACATACAAATTCATAAATAAAGTGTGTATATTATGCAGTGATTTGCTGCTGCTCCTCATTTCTTAGTCTGCAGCCCTGCTGGCTTCTTCCAAAWGAGGGTCAGTGTTCCCTGGGAACTGCCTCAGCCACCTCTTCCCATTTGGATCCCATCAGCTCCTTTTCCAGGGCCATCCCTTATGTCTGGATACCTCTGCCAGTCATCACCTGTTTTTTCCCCTCATGCCAATGAACAGCTTGAAGAGCCGATTTTTTGTGGTCATTTTTTTAATGTCATAATAATTTACCGTGTTAACATTCATTGTTCTTACATAGACACTGGGTTACAGAGTACTGGAGCCTCCAGCGACAGCCCATGGTCCCGTCCCGTCCTGTCCCCTGCTGTCACCGGGCCTGGGGAGGGAGCGGACGGACGYGGCTGCGCTGCAGCTCAGGATAAACCAACCTGGGCCAATTCCTGCGTTCCCCTCTGCTGTCCCTCCTGAAGCACGGGCTGACTCACCAACCAACCCTTTCTCCATGGATTTCGGTGGGATTGCGAGGTGCTCAGCACCGCTGAAAATCTTGCACTGACTCTCTGTATAAATTTCCACCCCGCTTTGTGGCGGTCTGCGGCAGGAACTGAGCACCCCTGGGTGCTGAACCTCGGACGCGCACGCACACGCTCGGGGCGTGTTTTAAGGCAGTGGTCCACAACAGAGTCTCTGGGGTCCTGGGGGTCCTGGGCAGGCACGAGGGTGGGGGGAGAACGTTGCCCTCTTGCGTGGAGTGGCAGCAGGATGCGGATTTGGGGCTGGGGGCTCCGAGTGAGCGCGGTGGGGTGAGCAGGGGCAGTGTGGGGGCTGTTGTGGCTGCTCTCTCCTGGCTCCCTCGCTGCTTTCCCACAGAAACGTTTGGCTGCAGGATTTCCTTAACAAGCTTTATGCTCCGTGATTGCTGTGGGGCCTCGGTGTGTCCCTGCCTGACCTGGTGGCCCTGCTCCTGCATGTGGGGCAGCTGGCCCTGGCACCGCAGGTATCCATCCCCTCCTTGTTCATGAGGATTAATGCCTTTGAATCTCCGTGTTTGAGCACTTTCCTATCCAGGCTGGAGGCAGAAAGCAAGGGAATACAGCGCTACCACTGCCTGCAAGGTCACGGGTGTCTGCTCGGGGCAGGGAACGCTGATCCTGCAGCACAGGGAGGAGGACGGGCTTGTCCTCACACACTGCAAAATCCTCCCCGTGCTGCTGGAACGCCACCAGGACAGAATGCCTCCTGTGCTTGGGGTCCCGTGGGCTTGTGAGCCTTTGCTCTGCGTGCTCCAGCCCTGCACCCCCTCCTCAAGCCATGGGACCCCCTCCCCATCCCGTGCTCCCACCGAACACGCGGCTGCGGCGTCAGCCCCGGCCCTGGGTGCTGGCCACAGTGGYTGAGCACTGAGCAGAAGGCTAAAATGATTAAAAAAAAATCCAAACCAAAACAGGACCGACCCCTAATGTTGGAACAGTGGCTTTCAGGGCTAGAATTAAAAATAGAGATATATGGATATATTGTACAGGTGAGAGGCAGCCGTGGTCTGTACACGTGGGACCGGCTCTGTACACGCTCTGACTGCGCAGCCGCGCTACCACTGACGCGATTCGTAAAAAAAAAAAACAAAACGAAATAAATACAACCATGTGTGTAAAAAACAATAAATGCTGCAAGTTCCCACAGCTGCCGCCTGTCCCCAGGATGCCAGGGTGTCCCACAGCCGGGCCTGGGGAGTGAGCAGAGCTGTGGATTGGGGTGGTGAGGTGGGGTGGGGTGGGGTGGGGCGCTGCAGGGGGGGCCCAGGCTCCCCTATGGCTTTCGAAGGGCTGGGGAGCAGCAGGAGCCAGGGCTGAGAGTTCCACTCCTGGCACCGGCTGCTCCATGGCAGCCGCCGCTGATGCTGGGAGCCGGGACAGGAATTGATTTCCCATCCCGTGTGGAGCGGGGAGAGGAGGGGTGCCTGCTCCTGCCTGTCCCGGGAGGCTGCAGGGAGCCCCGGGGCTGGGGACAGCAGGAGCACAGCTTGGACAGGCAGGAGAATGCACAGGAAATGTGGGAGCGAGCGGTGTACGGGCAGCAGGAGGGGAGGGAAAGCCCTGTCTGGGCAGCCCAGGCTGGCCCTGCAGGGCTGTCTGCGCAAAGCCTGAGGCTGGGTGGCTCTGGGACGATCCCTGGAGCCTGGCTCAGTGCAGGGAGCCATGGGGGAGGCACGGCTGCAGTGCAGCTCCCTACGAGAGAGCCTGGGCTGGCGCTTTCCCGGCAGGGCGAGCTGGAAAGGGATGCACAGAGATGGAGGGGACAGGCAGGGGATGGCTCATCAGCATCACTCCATCAAGCCAGGCACGGCTGGGTGGGAGAGCCTGGWCAGCCTGTCCCGTCCTGGAGCACAGAGGCTGCCCCAGCCCCGGGACAGGGCTGCTGCGCTCTCCTCCTGCACGGCTCTCACTGCAGCTCTCAGATGAACACAGCCCGAGGCTCCCCTGGCTGCTGGCTCTGATGGACACCGAGTCCCCTGGCACCGGCTCTGAGCTCCCCACACCGCAGCCCCCAGAGCCAGACCCTGCCCCTGYCCCTCACCCGCGGCCCCCGCGCTCCGCCATCACTTCAGCAAGGAGATGTCGTCGGCGAAGTCGTCGTGGTCCCGCCGCAGGCAGCGGAAGCAGCGCCACTGGAACACCATCAGGCAGAGGGGCAGCATGAAGAGGGCGCAGATGGCCGCCATGACGTAGGCGATGGTCATCAGCGTGGACTCGTCCGTCTGYGGGATGTTGTAGCCGCAGTCCTCCATGTTGGAGTGCAGGTGGGGCCCGTCCACCGCGGCCGTGCGGAACTCGTCGTGCACTGCGGGCGGGGAAGGCGAGCTCTGGTCACTGCCCACCCACATGTCCCTGTCCCCCGTCCCCACGGGCCCCTGTCCCCTGTCCCCACGGGCCCCTGTCCCCTGTCCCTGTGGGCCCAGCTCACCATGGCAGGCGCTGACGGCGAAGCCGATGCGTTTGCGGGCGCGGTCGAACACCACGTAGAAACCCTCCATGATGACGGCGCCCATGACCGTGCCCGTGGAGGACTGCGAGATGGCGAACTTGTAGCAGTCRTCCTGAGAGGTGGCCACGTCCTCCACCGGGCGCAGGTATTGCTGCAGGGACACAGGAGCCATCAGGGATGGGGGTGAGGAGGTGGCTGTGCCCACCCAGCACGGCCCTGCCTGTGCCCCCTGGGCAGGGTCTGGCCCGACCAACGCTCACCTGGGGCAGGATGGTGATCCGGAACGACTGGTTGGTGGCTTCCCCCATCAGGTAGAGGGACAGGACCGGGAAGATGTGCCAGGGGGTGGTGCCGACCTGCCAGCAAACCAGCTGCTCCCCCAGCCAGAAACCGTCTGGGAACTTCTCCGTCTAGCAGAGGGAAAGGGCAGGTGAGCGGGGCCGAGCTGGGCAGGCAGCAGAGRTGCCAGGCTGGTGAGGGGCAGCCAYGCTGCCCRCAGCCCTGGGCTGTGCCTGTGGGGAAGGGATGGCTTTCACTGACCGAAGAGGCTGTTTTGATGGATTTCACCGCAGCCTCAAACACCTTCTTGGGCAGCCTGAGGTTGGTGGTGCCGCTGTCCACGATGCTCTTGTCGTAGTTGTACTGGGGGCAGAAGAGGAGGAGTGACCCAGGTGCAGGACCCCAGCCCCATTGCCCCAGCCCCTCTGACCGATGGTGGGTGCCCCCAGTGCCCGTGGGGCAGGTGTCCCTGTGCCCCCTCACCTCCTTGCAGTCCATGTTCAGGTCCTGCCCGTTGACCTCCAGCTTGACRATGATGACCTCGTAGTACCACTCCTTGCGGATGGGGGTGTACCAGATGTCACCCACGTACAGCGAGCGGTCGATGCCACCGATGATCTGCAGAGGASWCAGAAYGSYGCTGTCACCACGCTGGCAGTGCCAACACCCCGAGGGTGCCCCCCAGCCTCCCGTGGGGTGCTCACCATGCTGCCTCCCACCGAGGCCACGGCCTCTGTCTCRTTGGGAGAGAAGCCTGTCCCGCACAGCTGCAGGGAGAAGATGTTGGGCACCCGCGTCTGCTTCACCAGGGAGTCAAAGAAGGGCTCCAGGCTGTCGTCSGGCTGGGGGGAGGAGAAAGCGGAGCCAGGACAGGGATGTGTCAGTGCTGTCACTTCTCCAGGAGCTCTCTGTGCCCAGGGGAGYTCCCCTTGCCAGCACTGCTGCGCCCCAAGGGACAAACAAGGACAAGGAAAAAGGCAACTGAAGCGTTCTGGTGCTCCCATCCAGGACTCACCCGGGCAATCTCGGCATATGCCAGTCCCAGGATCCCTTCCCARTTGGAGCCGTTGATGAAGAATTTGTCTGACTCTGTGATGGCAGCGATGTTGGCTCTGACAGTGACATTGGGGCCGTGGGGGATGGTGACAAGGTCAGTGCCCAGCTCCCCTTCCCACTTGCCCTGGGTGTAGGGCACATACACCCCCTTCCGCAGGTCACGGTAGGTGCTGGACCTGCAATGGCATCAAAGGGATGAGTGAGACCAGAAGGGTTTATGGGCATCCAGCCTTTCCAGAGGCTGGGCAGGGTCTGGACAGATCTCCAGCAAGAAGAAGAGTCCCCCCAGAACACTCACAGCTGCCGCTGGTAGTATCTCCGGAGAAAGGGGTGCGGTGCAGCTCCCACAGCAAAGTTACTGCTCCCTGTGTCCACCAGGATATTCAGCTGGAGAAGGAAGAGACAGGAAGGCTCATGAGTGCAGTGTGACCCTCTTTAGCTGCGCCCAGAGAGGAGAGAAGGTGGTGGAGCAGGAGGCAGCGACATCAGGGTGTYGCACAGAAAGCAAACACCATCCAGCTCTGTGCAAACAGTGTGTGAGCTCCTCGCTCAGCACGGCCCTAAATCCACAGGCAGGATCTGGGAAGCGCTTGGCAGGTGTTGTGGGGCCCGAGAGCAGCAGCACCACAGGGTGCACAGGTTCCCCTTGCCAGGAAAGCAGATTTGCTGGCACAGCCRGTGGRAAGGATCGCTGCTGGGCAGCCCCCRTGGATCCCTGTGCCCGATAATCGCCATCCATATGCCCAGCCCCGCTCCCGATCCATTCCTGCCCGGGCAGGATTACCAGGTTTGGCAAACATCCCACTGGCAGGGCCAGGAGAGGGCCAGCTGGATCCTGCCCTCAGCTGACCCGAGCCTGCAGCCCCGGTGAGGAGCTGAGAGGGATTGCTGGGGTGGGATTGAGGGGTGGGATTGTGGGGATGGGATTGCAGGGATGGGATTGCAGGGCCAGGATTGCCAGGGTGGGATTGCAGGGCCCAGGTTGGAGGGGTGGGATTGCAGGGATGGGAGTGCTGGGGTGGGATTGTGGGGTGGGAGTGCTGGGATGGGATTGCCAGGGTGGGATGGCAGAGGTGGGATTGCTGGAGTGGGATTGGGGCTCTCCGAGGCTCCTGGCTGTGCAGGACAGCAGAGTTCAGGGTGAACCCTGACCCCAGACCCAGGAGCTGCTTCATGGCACCACCCYGGGCAGCAGCACCAGAGCTTTGGCCCTTAATCTGTGGAGTCAGAGGCAGAGGAAGGAGGTTAATGCGCTTGTGTTAATCGCAGGAGCAGGGGCTGCAGCTGTCGAGCGCTGTCCCTGACAGGGGCTGGCACGTCCTGAGCGCTCCAGCTCCACCACCCTGCCCAGGGAAAGGTTTCAGGCCTCGGGTACAGCTCAGAGAAGCACATTCACCCCTCCAATGCTCACCCTGGGCGGGTGCCAGCTCAGCACCCACCACACAGCCCGACCTTCTCCTGCAAACCCGGCACCTGCGCCATTCCCAGGGCTGCTCTGGTTCTTTGGTGGGTCATTAGGGGCCACCTGCTCCACGCAGCTCATCTCCAATCCCCAGGGCACCCAGAGGAGACTGCTTTCCCTGGAGAAGGACCTGCTGAGCTGACGCTGCAAGGAGAGCTTTTGTTCCCTGCTGAAGGGGTCACGCACAGGACCCACGTGGAGAGGACCCAGATCCTCGAGACTCAGCCCAACCATCCTTTCAGGCCAGGACACGGCACGTGAACTGGCGAGGCCAGGACATGTGTGGCAGGGACACTGCMTGAAACCTGTCCCTGGAAGTGACAGCCCCTCCGGGCACCTCGGCAGCAGCGCTGGCTCCGTGCCACGCGTGTCCCTAGCGCTGTGYGCCGCTCCTGGGGCACCAAGCCTGTGCCATCTGTCCCAAAACACCGGCTCCTGCTGCTCKGCTCACCCCTCTTCCCTGTGTGTTTATGAATCAGCCCGTTCTGGGGAGCCAAGGAAACCAACATGCTTGGACACATGGAATGTGTGAGCAATCAGCTGCTGACGGTGACTTGGCAGCGCAGCACAGCTCAGAACCAAAATTACAGCACAAGGGGATAGGGAAACTTCCTTGTCAGCATCGGGAAGGTGAAAGGAAAGGTGAGGAGACGGATCACCATCCCCCTGCTGCGTGTGAGCCTTTGGGAAGGATGCACGCACTCCCCGGGGCAAATACGGCCCCAATTTCCTGCAGAGACACAGCCAAACTCTTTCATATGAATCCACTGAAATGCCTGGAGGGATTTTGCTCACACAGACACACACAGACGCATGCACAGGCACCACGTTTGCATTTGGAAGCAATCCAAGGCTGGAAGATGCTGCCCAAAAGGGTGACTGGCTCCGGAACGCGCGAGCGCCTGGGAACAGGTGGTTCGCACGGAAATTATCTGGCAGCTGCGACACGTGGCAGGCAGGAGATGATGAAATCACATTTCAAACTAGATTTTAGAAATCATCTCCTCCCTTTTTTGTCCCCTAAACACACCCYGCCAGAGCAGGGAATAAATCCCAGCCACACAAGGACAACACAATGGTGCTCCCAGAGATCCAATTTCCGTGGCAGTGGGATCATTCCTCCGTCCACATCTCGCTCCCTTCGCTCTCTCCCACCACGCACACAGAGCACACAGGGCACAGCCAGCTCACGGGGAAAAGCCAGCCTTTTTTTCAGAGCCTGTGTGGGTGCTGCCTGTTCTGGCTGCACCCACGAAGTGCTGGTGGYAGCCGTGAGGGAATGTGGCCCTGTGCTGGAGCCTCAATCGCTGAGCTCGACCTCTGGGCCAGACTTGTTGCTGGTGACGCTGGGGATCAGAATGGGCACAAAAGGATTCAGCACCAGGAACCTCCCTGATCTCATCCATAAAAGAGGGGAGGAGCTGGTCACCCTGGGCTGTGACTGGCACCTGGCACTCAGCGCTCATCCTGATCCCAGCGCGCAGGCACACGGTGCCACATGAGCTGGGCAGTGCAGCTTCAGCATGTGAGGGATGCTGACAAAAAGATGGAGCAGGATCAGAGCCTGGTGACGCACTAGCGCTCGCTCTGCCTGCCCTGTGAGCTCCTTTTCCACCCCATTTTCCTGCACTTTGCCTCCCCACGCTGCCCCAGCTCCTGCGCAGCAACAGCCGTCACGAGATGCCCGGGAACACCGAGCCCTGGAGGATTTCTGGAGCATCTCCCCAGGCCGGGAACGGCACACGGAGCCAGGCAGCAGCTGCGCCCGGGGCTGTGCTGGGAGGAACTGCCAAACACGGCTTGGCCGTGGGCTCCTTCGTGCCTGCATGTGCCCGCTCCAGGCGGGCACGGGGCTGAGCAGCCACAGCCACAGCCCACCCGCCCGCCGCCCACACCCCGCACCAGCTCCAGCGGCATCCTCCGGCTGGGAGCGGGGATGGAGGCACGGAGAGAGGGAGGGAGGGAGGGAGAGAGGGGGAAGGGAGGGATGGAGGGATGGAGCCTGGCTCGCCCGCACGGAGAGGCACACGCAGCACCGGCCGGAGCGCCCAGGCAGCCCCGGGAGCGCTGGGGTCACCTTCGGCGGGCAGTCTTCACCGAAAGCCAGCAGTAAAAACATCAGCAGAGCGATGAGGAGCGATGGGAAGCAGCAACGCCGCCCGGGCCGTGCAGCGAGAGCCACACGAAGCCATGGTGACACCCGCAGCGCCTCTGCTCGGCGCCCCGCAGCCCCRAGGGATGCACCCGCAGCCCCCGGGGATGCGGGGAATGCAGGGGATGAGGGAGATGCGGGAGATGCGGGGGATGCGAGAGATGCGAGGATCCCCTCCCACCTCACCTTCTGCGGGGGGCTGCCCACCGTCATCTCCACGTAGTAGCCCTGCCCGGACTTGCCCCGCAGGTTGTCGATCATATCCACGAAGCTGCCGGTGAGCTCGGGCTCGGCGTCCAGCGGCGCCCGGCGCTGCCGGAGCCCCGACGGCGGGGTCGCGCCGCCCCGCAGCGGCAGCCGGATGCGCGGCGGGGCCGGGAGGGCGCGCAGGACCCCCAGCCACAGCAGCAGCCAGGGCCAGGCGGGCGCCATGGCCGCGGGGGAGCCTCGGGGGACGCGGTCAGCGGGCCCGCAGCGCCCCGCGCCTCGGCGGGGCGGCC